GAGTCTCAGATTTACGGCTATACTTCGGGCTGGAATTACTGAATTCCAGTCAAACCTTTAAAGGTTGACATTGTGATAATCAGTTTTCTCTTTCTCTCTATTATTTGTAGGTAATTTTAACATGAATATGCTTACAAGAGCTGTCAGAAATCCTCCAAATACGGAGAACTCTGTAAAAGCCATTGGCCTTTCCACATGTGACCCTGCTTGTATTGCTTTTGGCTTCCAGGGCTCACAGAAACGACCTTTTCTGTTGCCTTTCACATTCTCAGCCAGGTGTGATGGTTTGAGAGACAGAATAAGACAGGCAGGCTTGGAGCTGTGTTTCGGGGTAATGCCATCGTAGGCACATTTCAGTCCCAAGCCGCTTCACCCTTCTGCAAGCAAACCATTGGTGCACTCTCATTTTCTTCATTAACAGATTTTGGAGTGAAAACTGGGGAGGGCCATGCTGCCGTGCTGCCTGTTTCTGATCCTCAGGTTATAGCACAAGCTAAATAGACTATACTAAATTTTTTAGGCTGTTTCACAGACTTACAGACTTTGATCCCTGGCTTTGATTTCCCATGCGGCATCGCAGACCGCTGGTTCTGACGAGAGAAGAGACCCATTAAGTCCTGTCTAGCCCCATGATTATCATGCCTTTCCGCCGTCGTGCCGCGCTTTCATCAAAGAATGAGCTCCCGACTTCCCTCCCTGCACCCTGGGGAGGTTCTGGTGTCGTGCAGCTGTCGTGGCCACGGGAGCGGGTGTGCGGCTGCAGTTGGACACGCTCCGGCCACGGCAGGACAAGTGCTGTGCTCAGCACCCTGCTCCTGCCAGGCAGGAGTGTCCCCTCCATGGCACTCCCCCATTCGCCCCTCTTTTTGGTCTTTCTCTGCCTGGCTTCAGCAGACCGTTCAGGGTAAGGAGACAAGCCTTTTTATTTCTAGGGTCTCGTGCGGTTTGTACAACAAGCAAGCCAGGAAATAAATATTCTGTGTGTGTCCTTGCCGAAGCAGTAGAGACGGAGGCGTCTGCCTGCCTGCCCTGCTCTGTGCTTCCGAGTCCCCAGGTCCCTCTGCACCACTTGGCTTTCCTTTTTTATTTTATTTTTTTTAAATTTAGATCTAATTTTGCTGCCGTATTGCAAGTTCCCGTCTAACTCAAGAGCCGCCGTTGCCTCAGGGCTGTGTTGCTGCTTTTCAGCCTTCCCACGCCCCTCGCATGTGCAGTCTGGGAGAACTTTGAAAAATCTCTCCTGAATTCAAGCACGTGTGTGCTTGGGGTCATCCTAGGAGGAAGAGAGTAAGGTTATCTCATAAGGGACAGTACTCTTAAAAAATCCATTCTTCAGCAAAACAGGAGCTGCTTTCATGTAATGCCAGTGAAAATGGTAGAGAATCCGCACGAGATTTTCAGGTGCATGCCCTGTGGTAGTGCTGCTCCTTAGCACATCCAAGGCAATGTCCAGGGAGAAACAGCAGCTGTCCCATGGGCAGGTCCCCAGCAGCCCAACGGCGAGGCGAGGGGGTGGCAAGCTGCAGCACTTCGAGAAGCTGTTTGGAGGGCTCTGATCCCAGCTTGTGAGACCACGTCACCCCCAGGAAGCCTCCATCGTGTTGATGGGTCCTCTGGCCGGTCATCCCTGTCCTAAGTTCTTGTTCCTTCCACAAAGAGCTTTAATGGAAGAAGAAAGGAAGAAGGGTGCCAACACCCCAACCTGGCAGCTGGTGGTAGATACTGGGTCCCATCTCTGCCTTCGCCACCCAAGGCAGGACCTGCCCCTGGTCACGGGGGCACTGCTGTGGCTTCATTTCGGTTTTACTTCAATAGCGTCGATCGCAGCGCGTCAGCCCTTGTTTTCATTACTTCTGCTCTCCACACGCTGTTGAGGCTTGCGGTGTTCTGGCAAACAAGCCTTGACTGTAATAATGTCTGGCCCCTTGTGGGAAGTTGTAACTCCAACGCAGTGAAATAGAAACTGGCAGAAAATGCAGTGTTTCCTTCTGCCATTGCGAGCTGCAGCAGGCGGGCTCAGATGGAGGTCTTCTGCTGGTTTTCCCTCCCCTGCTTGTGTTTTTTCCCCCCACCGAAGGGCACGGGGACCCTCCTCCAGCCACTGAGAGGGCGACACGCTGGGCTGATGAAGCGGCACGTGAAATTTGTGCTCGGCAAAGTCACGACTCCAGGAGTCTCGGAAGGAGGCAGCAGTGGGAAACAGAAGTGTTGTCCTGTGGTCAGCTCTGAAGTGCTGCTGTGTGGGTGGCAGCCAGGTGAGCTGGTCTGCAGAGGTCCCTGGGAGAGGTGGGGAGAAGCAGGGAGGTCTGCAGGCAGCAGGGGGCTGTACTCTACACCCTGGGGAAGAGGGTATCATCTCCAGGATCTGCATCGAGAGGCTCTGGCAGCCCCTGCCCAGAGCTGTTCAGAGGTCCTCTCGTGATCCAGGATGGACGGCCTACATCTCAGGAGGTTCAGGACCTTCTGCCAGAGAACAGAGCCAACCTTGCAAGGGACAGAGCTTTCTCAGGAGCTGCTCAGAGATGATGTTGTGGGCACGTGTGGGCAGTAGAGGTTCCTGTCAGTCTCCCCAAGCTCGTCACCGCTGCTCAGTGCATCGTGGCCAGCATGAACACTGGAAGCATGTCCATTAAACCCAGCCTGTCCCAGCTCCCAGGAGGTTTCTTGCATGGATGAATCATGATGAGCCTGTACCCAGCCTTGTTTTCTACTCTTCAGGAACAGAATGAGAGAGGTGGATGTGATGGATGTGGACCACATGGCTGGGAGGCACAAGAACCTCAGATGTGCAGTGAGGACCACATCTAGAGGGGATGTGGTGTGACCCTGTAGTCAAGATGGGTCCTTCCAGGGCAAACTGGAGTGTTCAGCACACAGAGGTCTCTCTTGGGAAGCAGCTTGAATGCGAGCACGGTACTTGTGTTGAGTCCCCATAGCCTTGTGGCTGTTCCTCACCCAGGTTTGAGGCTGGTTCATCTCATCCATTGCACACTCTCAAATCTCTGCCATCGCTGCAGCACCTCAGGACCTCATCGTAGGCTGTATTCCACCCCCATCCCAGCCTCAGAGGCTCATTTCAGCAAATGCCGTTGCTGGTGCCACCATCCCCTTATCTGTTAGCAGGTGAGCACAGGTTGAATCTCTTCTGCGAGCTCTCCACAGTCTGTCTCATTGTATTTACTTTGTTCAGGCTGCTTTTCCCTGGGCTTGACAGTGTAATTTGTACAGATCTGTGCTGAGTTTTCTAAACTCTCAAACGAGCTTTTTTGTTAGCGTGAAGCCCAGACTATTGGTAGTAGAGACATTAAACAACAGAAACCCTGAGAAGTGAGCAGCACGCCTACCATCCAGGAAGGCTTCCTAACCTCTGCAGGTGCTCCTTGGCAAAAACTCCATGGTTCAGAGATTTTAATTAGATCTAATTCTCCAGGTGACTAGCCAAGCATTAAAAGACAGACCCATTTTTCAGTTGTGTCCCTTGCTGTAGAGTTTTTATTATTTATTTTAGATAAATGTGACAAAAGAACTCGGATATCCCAAACGTAATGTTTTCCTGGGATGGCACTAAGAGGTCTCTGGTGTAGGAGTCTCCTTTCAGTGCAGTTACGCTCTGCCTGGCTGTCTGCCGCAGCAAACGGGTGAGGAAGGAGAAATCAGAGGTGGCTTTTGAGAACCCCCGTTTTCCTGCCTTGAGGTCAGCCTGGTAATTGCAGCCAGGAACCTGCACACCAGATCTACCACCTCTGAGCCATGGGTGACTCCTAATGGTGCGAGAAGCAACGCCTGGATGGAGCAGGCAGGGTTCGAGAGATTGCCCGGCACCTTGGCCGACATAGATGAGCTTAGTGTTTTGCTGTCTTTCTAGGAGCCATGGGTTTAATTCAAAGCTGCTCCCTGCCAGAGTCCGTTTGTCTTTTGGTTTTGTTTCCTTATGCCCCTGTCTGCCTCTGTCTCCCATTTCTTGGACGATGCTCGGCACTGGCTGCTCCCGCAGCTTTCTGGTAGCAGCAGGAGCTGTGAGTGTTGTGCAGCAGCAGCAGGGACGTGTGACCTTTGGCCGTGGTGCAATCCCTGCTTTGAAGTTGAGCAGAGGCTGAAGGGCTGGAACTCTTCCTTGGAGCGCGAGAGACCCAGGATCAGGGATGCAGACAGCTGGTATGTTGTGCTCCGACCACGAAAGCCCTGCCAGAGGGCCCGTAGCACCTAACCTCTCCATCACCTCCAGAGACATACTACAAGTGGGTTTGCAAAGCGTCTGCGTGGCCGAGGTGCCCCTGCCCAGGCAGCCGGTCCCTGAGGGCAGCACAGACAGTGGGCAAGGCTGGTCTTCATCTGTCTGCACCTGGGGCAGCCGTTCACATCCAGACCCGAAATTTTCGCCTGATTCTTGAAGACAGAGAGATGGATTTAGCCATTTGTAGTCATTCAAGAAAAGCGCTCGATGCGAGAAGTGTGTGGGTGGTGAGACCAGGAGTAATTTGTGGTTCAGAGGCTGTGGGGACAAGCAGGACCTTCCTCCAGGTGAGCTGCAGCACAGGAGTGTTTAAATCAATCAGCACGTTAACAGAAAGCAAGGAGCTGGAGGGAGGGGGAAAGTGAGAGCTGAAATAAAAGGCAGTTAAGGAATAGATGCGATGCAAAACGAGAGTATTAATAGCTGCAAGGGAGACACAGGGGTAGAGCTCCTGGCCAGGAGAAGACGGGTAGGGTGTGAGCGTGTTGTGGGGTGAGGTGGACAGCCTGGTGTGCCCTTCCTCAGCCCCATTGCTGTCACCTCACGTTGCTTTGGTCATGAGCTGTGTTTGGAGTGACCCACGGGGCTTCCCAGCTTCTCTACAACCATGAGGCGCAGTCGGTGGGAGCTGGGGGTTTGCTCTGGGATCAGGATGCATTGACCTTCATTGGCGTCCACTGCGTGGTGCTGCCCCGGACGGACCCGGGGTCCATCCCACCCTGCCGTGCCCAGGTTGGTGACCTCCCTTCTGCTTTTGTCCCTGTAGCAACCCCAAAGTCCAGATAGAAGCGATTGAGGGGGGTGCGCTGCAGAAGCTCCTGGTGATCCTGGCTACAGAACAACCCCTGACTGCCAAGAAGAAGGTGAGCAAGCAGGGGTGCACCTCTGGGTAAAGCCACTTTTGTACTGAACTCGATGTAAGCGCTCCTCGGGGCATCGCCAGCACCGGGAGAGTGTGGGAGCCTGTGCTGCTCCCACACTGCATGGACTCCAGTGCACCCCATGGTGCTGGACGCCCCCTCGGCAGCGCTGGTGTCCCAGTGTCTTGGATCTCGCCCTGGCTGCCAGCAGCGGCACACATGGCAGCTCTGCCAGCCTTGTGGGGGACACGGCCTCGGTGCAGTGACACCTCCGGGAGGGAAGACGGGGGTCCCCGTGGCAGGCGTAACGATGGGAGGCTAACAAACATGGGAGCTGACGGTTGGAAGGAGCTAATTGCTGGAGCCAGCCCCGTGTCCTGCCTTCGGCAGTGGCTTTGGAGCAAACCAAGCAGTGCCGAGAGCCCCCAGCCAAATGTGCAGTGCTGTCCGTCGGCAGAGGGGGCTTCCTCGCCGCCTGCCTCCCTCTCTCCTCGCCGAACTCCCTGGAGCATGAGATCTCATTACCCTCGCTTTAGTGTGCCGTGCCGCCTCTGTTTATGGGCCATAAAATTATCTGGCTGCTCTGGAAAAATGCAGCCCCACCGTTTAACATGGTGGCCTCCTGCGAGAGGGGTTCTGCGGGGCAAGGGAGCCACCGGCTCCTCCGTTCATCTTTAGTGCACCTGCTGTTTCGCCAGCAGCATTGTGCTACCCCCAAACACGGTCCCCTTTAGTCCATGGTGAGAGTCCCCCAGGGAGAGAAAGGCATGGGAGCGGCTGGGAGCCCCATTGCTTTTGGCCACGGGTGGGAGGAGGTCCCAGCCAGAGAGGTGCAGCACAGGATGCTCTGTGCTCAGGAACTCCTCGCAGCCGTGCCCGTGGCTCGATCTGGAGCTGGTTTTGGGATGGGAAGGGATGGTTGGGCATGCAGAGGGCCCTCACCAGCATTCCTTGAACCCCTGGGTGTGGGTGCAGGATGCTTCTTTCCAGCAAGCCTGAATGCAGCCCCCTGCAGCCCCTGGAGAAGAGCATGAGGCATGAGCTCAGTATTGTCTGCATTCACACATGGTCTTACGAGACCCTCCCAGGGTTGAACCCCCTTTTCCAGGAGGATGTAGGCTTTTAATTTCCTGTTCCTGTGCTGTGTACCATCTCCCATCTCTCTCCAGGCCAGGATCCTGAGGTGTCCTGGCCCCTTTCCATGCAGAGCAGCAGCCCATAGCTCCTGCTCGGGTGGGTTTTCCACCCCGGCTCTCACAGCAGTGGATGGCAGCGAGGCCAAAAGTGCATTTCTTCTCTCCCCTGTCCTTTGGCCTATGGAGATGGAAACATCCTCCGATTCACCGGCGGCAACTCGGAAGATGGAAAATAGAAACAAATGGACTGGGGAAGGCATGGCTGTCAGCTCGGATCTGTCCGTGGAGAGCGGGGGACGCGTGGTCCACCTCGGTGCATGGAGGAGCCAGCTCCGCTCGGCTTGGCTTGCTGGCAGGCGCCCAGACGAGCGTCGCCATCCCCGGTCGGGCAGCAGCCCTGCCCCGGGCGGTGTCAGCCTGTCCCCTCTGCAAACCCGGGTCATCCAAAGTAGACAAGTGTAAAATTCAGTGGCCCCTAATTGCCTCCTCAGTGTTAACCCCGTGCCACTCAGGGCCCAGGAGGCAGGTGCAGGCATGCAGGGGTCTCTCGCTGGCGCTGCGTGGTGCTGCGCCGTGACATGCCCTGCTTTGAGGCTGTTTCCTGGGAAACAGCATGGCCTTGTCCTGTGGCCGCATGAGTGCAGGGGAGAGGATGTTCCCCGGCCATCTGAATTCTCGAGAGGATCGGGCAGTGCTGGATCCCGCTTTGCGGGGCGTCCTTAGCCCATAGCCAGGATCTGCAATGAGAAGCGATGGCATTGGGTCTGTTCAGGTGCTGGCCACAGGTCCCTCTGGGTTATTGTTCTAGTGATCACAGTGACAGTCCGGGTTGAAGTTCGGGTGGAAGTCACACAAGTTTGGGCAGCCCTGTAGTGCCAGGAAGGATTTGGATCAGGAGGAAATGGGTCTCGGAGACACTGCTCAGCGAGGAGAGATTTGAAGTCATCTGCTGGGGAGCTCCACACAAATGGGTTGGGGTGTTTCTCATGTCCCTGTGGGATGCCACAAAGAGAGATGGCGGCTGTGGCCACCGTGCTGATGGACCTCTCTTCCTGCCAGGCTCTCTTTGCGTTGTCCTCCATGCTGAGACACTTCCCCTACGCCCAGCAGCAGTTCCTCAAGCTGGGCGGCCTCCAGGTCCTCAGGAGCCTCTTCAGGCAGAAGGGGATGGAGACCCTGCACGTCCGTGTGGTGACGCTGCTCCATGACCTCATCGTGGAGAAGGTGAGGAGCTGGGAGGGAGGGGACAGGGCACAGCCAGGCACTCCCCACCTTGACACTTGCTTGAAAGAGTCCAGCACAGCCACAAAGATGATGGAGGGAGTGGAGCATCTTCCTTATGAGGAGCGGCTGAGGGAGCTGGGTCTCTTTAGCTTGGAGAAGAGGAGACTGAGGGGAGACCTCATTCATGGTTATAAATTTGTAAAGGGTGAGTGTCAGGAGGAAGGAGCCAGGCTCTTCTCAGTGATGTCCAATGACAGGACAAGGGGCAATGGGTGCAAGCTGGAGCATAGGAGGTTCAACCTGAACATGAGGAAAAACTTCTTTACTGTGAGGGTGCCAGAGCATGGCCCAGGCTGCCCAGAGAGGTTGTGGAGTCTCCTTCTCTGCAGACATCCAAAACCCGCCTGGACGCCTTCCTGTGTGACCTGGTCTGGGTGATCCTGCTCTGGCAGGGGTTGGACTGGATGAGCTTTCGAGGTCCCTTCCAACTCCCAATATTCTGTGATTCTGTGACACTCTCACTGAGCCAAAGGAGTCCTCAAGCACCCTCACAGGACAAGGGTGAGGGGTGACCAATCCAGCATCGCTGCTGGCCTGTGCTGTTGGGATGAGTTCCCTCCATCCCATGGGCCGCCGCTGCAGGGCAGGAGTGTCTGGGGGAGCCCAGTACAAATGTAAACCTTTATTTTCCGTTAAACTACTGCCACCTTTTCCACCTGAGGGTGTTTAAATAACGGATCAGCAAGGACTGAGCAGGGAACGCAGGCGCCAAGGGGAGCTTGGCTGCGGCATCCGGCTGCCAGCGCGGTGCCAGGGGGCAGCCACCACTGCTGTGCCCCCACTGCTGGAGAGGCCTCTGCTGCCCGCACGGCCCTCGCTGAAGCCAGGCCCACAGCATCAAGTGTTTTATTTTCAATACCTTGGATTACTGCTGTAAATGTCAGTTTAAAGCCCGTCTTTCCTTGCCTTCGCTCGGCGTTCAGTCTGTGCGTTTCTCTTACTCCGGAGAATGGAAATTAAATCCACTTTGTCTCAGTTTATGGCCAATTTGCCCTGCAGATTATTACTGCTGTAATGCTCGAGTTTCAGGCACTGCAGAGCAACGGCTGCATTTTAAAACAGTTGTTTTCCAGGAGACTTTGTCAAGGCCCAAATTATTTTAGCGGGTCTGAAGTCTTACGAGGTGCGTGCTCTAACGCACAGCAACCCTGCACGTCTGCTCCCAGGGACAGGGAGCCCATGTGGGCACTTGACCCAAACTGTTCCCCTTCGCTCCCACTGCAGGTTTTACAGCCGCCCCTCCGGCAGCCCCATCTGTTCCCAGCTCTGCTGGGGCTGGGGCAGTCTGCAGGCCCAGCAGATTCTCAGTTTTATGTTAAAACAGTGATTTTTTTTCACTGCTCTTTGAACTGGGAATGCCCTGTACCAATCCCAGCCCCTTTGTGGAGGAGCTGGGAGAGCCCTTGCAGATTTGGGGTGGGCTGGGTGACAACCAAAGAGGTTGGTTTGAAAATCGTGAGCGGCCAGTGGCAGCTCTGAGCTGAAGCACAAATTGCTGGGGCTCTGAATGTTTTTTTTCTGCCACCTTCTTTCCTTTTCACCCCAAATCCTGCATGGCCGGCGGGGTTTTAGCAGGCAGCCCTCTCGAGGGACTGGGAGAAGGGAGGCATCCTCAGCATTGTCCTTCCTTGCCCCTGTCCTGTCCTGTAAATCAATGGGATGAAAGGGCCCAGCCAGGCTCCCCACAGCCACTGCCCAGAGGATGGCAGGAGCCCATGGCCAAGTGATGAACAGGTCCAGGACAATGTTATGGGTGCCCTCGGGGGTTTCTGGTCCCCAGCCCCACAGAAGCTCTCATCTGCCTTCAGCAGCGTGAGGCGAGCAGCCTCCTCAGCACTAATGAGTGAAGCACGGACATAGCAGTCATCACAGGGCCAGCAGCCAGCCGGGAGCAGTCCTCCATCGGGGAGCAGAGCCACTCCACCACCCAAGCCTCGAAAGGTGTTGGGGCGGTGGCAGGAGGTTCCCCTTCCCCCCCCCGCCCCAAGTCTCCCTCGCTGGGAAGGGAGCCAGCAGCCCTGCACACCCCGCTCCCCATGGGCTCCTTTTTGCTCTTGGCACCTGCAGAATTTTGGTATTTGGGGTTTTCTGGATCAGGCTGGGAGGGGAAGGTGTGGCCATGGCTGGAGGAGTCTGAGATCTCTGTGTCCTCTGTAGAGCAGCATGAAGCCAAGCGGTGATGTGTGTGCGGTGCTGCAGGAGCCTGTTCAGCAGCTCAAAGCAGCAGCCCCAGATACTTTCCGGGTCTTCTGCTGAACTTCCTCCCCCTAGCAGCCCCTTTCAGGGCCCTGTGGCACTGAAAGCCCTGATCACCAACTACTCTCCCACAATGTGTTGCCTGCCAGGAGCGGCTGCTCTCCGATGAGGACGTTAATCCGTGTTCCACCACTTCCCACAGATGCTGCTTGAGGACTCGCGGCACGGAGATCAAGTGGAAGAGAAAATCCAGCAGTACCGGCAAGTCAAGCTGGTCCCCGCGGTGGTGGAGCAGGACTGGTGTGTGGTCGTTTCCAACCTGCTAGCCATGCCGGAGCACGACACCCGGGAGAAGGTCCTCAAGACGGTGGGCGTGCTGATGGCCTTCTGCAAGGAGCGCTACCGGGGGGACCCGGCCCTCAGCACCACCCTCGGCCTCCTGCGCAGTGAGTACGAGGAGCTGGCGGCGGAGGAGCAGAGGGAAGGTGACACAGATGGCTACTTCAAGGAACTCCTTGGCTCTGTAAACACCATCATTCAGGAATTAAGATGAAAACGGCTGTACACTTGAGTTTGGTTACAGGTAATTCAGGGCACCTGCGTGAGCTTTGATAGCACGGATGTAAACGCACTGTCGAATAAACTGCTGGACTAAATGAGATCCTGCCACCAGCTGAGTGGGCCAACAGCTTCATTATTAAAGCATATGTGTGTGGGGGCACATCTTCTTTTCTTTTGTATGGGGTATGGCTGGTACCTCAGAGAGAGTGAGGCAGAGTCACAGCTGCCGTTGCCTCCAACCATGGTACCTGGTGAGGGTCCTCAGGCCATCTGCAGGACTATTTGGGGTGGGAAGGACGGCGGGATGTGGGACTGTCCCTGTTAGGCAGCTCTGCTGCGCAAAGGGAGGCGTTTGCTCCCAGAGCTCTGCTCTGCCTTTGCTCTTGCCTGGTGATGACTTGTGATGTCTGTGATCTTTCATTTGCCTCTGTGTAATGCATCTGGGCACTCAACGCTGATTGCCTTTGGGTCATTTCGTGCTTGTGTGGGGGGCTGTGTCGTTTCCTTTAAACACTGGTTGGAGGGGCTCTCTGGGGAGCTCTAATCCAGCCTTTGCTTGGAGTAGGACAAGCCCTCGGTCACGTCAGTGTGGCCATGGCCACCTCCAAGAAGCCTGGCTCCGCCTCCCCTTCTGTGTAGGTCGTGGAGCTCCACCACAGCAGCTCTCCTGCAGCCCCTCTGTGTGGAGGCCCAGCCACATCCCAGTGGTCTGGGCCGGTCAAACATCTGTGTAAGCCCTGGTGTGGGGCAGCCAGGAACCACTCCTGCCCTCGCAGGGGACAGCCAGCTGGTGAAGCCCTTCAGCAAACCACTGAGTCTTTCCAGTTGTGTTCTTCGTGCCCTGGGAGATGGCTTCGTCCAGGGACTGAGACTGGCCAGGCAAGGAGTTTCCATCTCTGGCATACAACAGCTCTCCTTTTTGGGCTGGGCATCACCCTTCACACACCTCTTCCAGGTGCAGCTTCTCCTCGCTTTCCTCAAGACTCAGGTCCTCTTCCCCTGTGAACCCTTTTTGAGGTGCTCCTCTCGCTGGATGGACCATTGGGGAGGATGCTCTGCACCCTCCTCGCCGGGGTGATTCTGCCTCCCCACGCCATCCTGCCTCAGGCAAAGAAGAACCCAAAGTGTTGGAAAAGCCTCTGGCTGGGAGAGGGCTGCCACCTCCCCTGCCATCAGCTAAAAAAAAACCAAAAAAACCAAGTGATGAGAACTACAGTCATGCATTATTTTGGCATTGCAGAGAAATGGGCATTAAAAGCTGGGTGGTGGCAACTGATTTGAGAGAAGAGGAAGAGGAGATCTCCACCGCGCTGTCTCCTGGTGCTGTGTGGTCCTCTCACACCAGACTTTTATTTTCTCCTGGCTCCTGCAGCTGTGTCCTGCATGGGGCCCATCCCCAGCTGGTGCTGCAGGTGCCGTCCCCCTGTGGCACCGCACCCGTGTCTCCGGGGCAGCCTGCAGCAGGATCTGGGGGTCTGCAG